TCCTGCCTGGCTGCAGTGGGGCGCAGCCTCGCTGTTAGGACCGGCGTTTCCTCCGCGGGAACGAGACTCCACCCGCACCTCCGCCGGCAGCAGCCTGGGCCCACAGAGGGTGCGCGCTGGAGACCGAACTGCCCAGTCCCCTCCGCTCAGCTCAGAGTCCTACTCTGGACCACAGCCTGGACTACGGCCCCTCCTCTAAGCCACCGACCCTCTGCCCTTGAGGAGAAATCACCCTTTCCCTCCAGAGACCCTGTTGGTGAAGGAACTTGCCTTCAGCCGGCTGGCTTTGCGGCACCAGACCGCTGCAGGTCCTGGGTTCTGCTGTGAGCGCCTAACAGGCCCAAACTCATCAGCCCGCAGCAGACGTCACCCCGGGGCAGGTGCAGCCCGCGTGAGCCAGGCAGCCGGCCTGGGTACTGATCAGGCAGTGGCTGGCAGCAGGGGGCCCTGGTTTCCCAGCAACAGTGAAGCCACCAGCCAGACTGAGCCCGCGGGTGGTGAACCTTCAGTATTGTGAGGTGAGGAGGAAAGAAGTGAGTTTTCCGCGTGCTGTTCTGAAACACAGTGGCCTTTTTGCAGAAGGGGGTGTGTGGCTTTCCGGGCTTTGAGGGCCAAGCGCCCCCACAGCTCTTGGAGCCTCTGACAGGCTCAGGGCGAGGCCTGCCAGTTTCCAGTGTCCTGGTGACAGCGGTGGCACCCTCGATTCCTCAGGACAGGAAGAACGGGACGGGGGCTGCTTAACCCCAGTCCTAAGCCTGACCCTAACCGAACCCCTAGAGCTGTGGATGTCAGAGACAGAGGGGCTCCTCGAGAGGTAGGCAGAGTGGGTAAACTGAAGGCTGCGTCTTTACTCTGGTGCCGGCTCAGATGTGCTGCGCCCTGTGTGGCCTGCACGCTGCCTCCGGGTTCCCCGCTGTTGGGGAAGCGAAGATGGGAGGGAGGCACAGCCTGACTGGCCCTGGGTGGCAGCCCTCATGTGACCTGACCCCTCCTGCACCCACCTGCCCGGAGCTTCACCTCTGACTCTGTGGCCACTCCACTGGGAGCCACTCCCGTCAGCCACCAGACCGACTCTCACCGGCTGACTCCTGTCCCTGAGATCAGCCATGGTTTCTCAGGGCGTATCATCCACAGCTGCGCAATTCCTCCTGCTGGGCTGCCCGAGGCATGGCTTCCTCCTGTCTTGGCCCAGAGCTCACTTCTGCTGTGTGCCCTGCTCAGCCCCAAGGGGTCATCAGTGTCTGGCCTCCGGCCTCCACCCCATGCTGCCCATGGCTCCCAATTGCTCATGGGAGCTGCGCCCTGGTCTTGGTGAGGATGCCAAGCACCTGCATGCTGCTGGAGCCCTCCTTGACCCTCCTCTCTTGGCCTCTAAGCCAGGCTGCCCTCTTAGCATCCTTTTCTGCACTCCATGAGTGTCCGCCATCAGCTCTGCGGTCCAGCCTGCTGCCATCGCCCTAGGTCCGTCCTGGCCTCCCGGAAGGTCCCCTCTACCCACACTGGCTCCTCTCCATCCCTTCTCCAGCCAGACCGGGCTGTGCAGACACAAAGCTGGTTGCCGCTTTTCACTTCCTTAATGTTTCCATGGCTTTTGTGGCTTTAAGGACCAGAGTCCACCTCTGGCCAACTCGATGGCGTTCGTGTGCCCTCGCTCCCTCCAGGCCCTGGGCACAGGTCCCTCCTCTGGATCTCTTTTCCTTCCCCTGGTGTCCACAGAAGGCCCCGAGTGTGCTTGCTGTCAGTGTGTGAACATTCCCTCCTGACTGCTCCATGCACACAGCAGCGGGTCCCTGCTCTGCCCGGCTCAGGGATGCCTGTCGCAGCGTGGATGGACATGGCCTTCCCCTGCCAACAGTGTGCTCTCCACAGGGCCTCAGGTCGACTGCAGGAGATCAGGGGTTCAGGAGGCCATACCTAGTAGGTCGGCTGCCCTGTTTTGAAAGGATGCCCTGCCAGCTAAGAACGGAATCCAGGGGTGTGGACAGGCAGGGCCTCGCTGACTCACTCCTCCAGCCTCTTCACAAACCCAGCAGTCCCAGGGACATTAACCACCCCAAAGTCAAGGTGTTTCCTCCGCTGTTGTGAGCCCACATGTGCCATGCCAGGAAGTGCCTGGGATGACACAGCACCCACCTTCCTACCTAGGCTGAAGCCCCCTCCACTGACAGAGGTTGGGGGCGGGTTTGGCTGACCTTCCTCAGAGCCATCTGCTGCTGGCAGAAGCCTGGAGGCGGGGCCTGGTGGGGGGCTGTCTCCGCGTGCCTCCGGGCTTTCTTAGACTGCACATTTCTGGCTGAGCCTTTCGTCCTGCTGTCTGGAGCCAGCCTGGCAGTGTCCCCTGGGCTTAGCCCATGCTGCAAGGGCAGGAGCTCTGGAGGCCGGTTTGTCCTGAGTCAGATTCCTGCCACCCCTGCCTCTGAGGGCAGCGTGGTCAGCCGCCTGCACAGCCTGCTCAAGGAGGGGGAGTGGAATTCGAAGTCTGTCCTGGAGAGGCTGCCTGTGGTCGGTGCCTGCTTCTTCCTCCCTCCTATCTCCCCAGCCTCCCTGTGCCATCAGAGCTGAGCCCAACCTGCCAGCCCTGACGGCGAGGCTGGCCATGTGTGCCCTGCACAGGTGGCCAGAGCAGAGTCTGGGTGGTGGGAAGGCTTTGCAGGGTCTGAGTCCAATCCCGCAACGGCCCCTCTCCACCATGCTGTCCCCAAGCCCTGCGAAGGGATGGACAGGTGAGGACCTGGGGAAGAGGGCCAAGTGCCGCCTCTTACTGACACCGACGAGGAGAGACACTGCCAGGGAGAGGGCAGAAAGGGGACTCATCAGTGCCAGCTCTGAGCTGTGTCTTCTCTTCGCAGCCACCTCAGGGAAGAACTAGCGCCTTCCCTTTAGAAAGCTGCGAGGCTCAGAGCGGTTGAGTAACGGGCCTGAAGACACACGCTCTGAAAACGCCATGCTCACTACTTAATCCCGCCCACGTGAGGACTCAGTAAGACAGCGCCAGGGCTGGCTGTGCCCACGTGCAGGGGCCCAGGTCCAGACACCACCCCCTTCTCCACCTCCATCCCTTCCTTGGCCAGGACCAGAACGGCTGTGACGCCGAGAGCGCTGGGACATTGCAGGAGCACAACATGAAGGCTGGCAAAGTGTCAGCAACTGTTGCAGCTGAGGGAAGCACACGGCAGCTCAGGGCCTCTGCTCTGTGTCTGGGTGTGTTTGAAATGTTTCCTGAAGTCAGATGACCCCCCGGGTGCCTGGATTGCTTCCCATGGTAGCTTAGTTTGCCAAGCGCTCGATGACGAACACGGGCGCCCTAGGGCCTCCTTGCTGCGGAGCTGGCAGTGGGAACAACGATGTCTGTCTTGCCGATGAGGACGCGGGAACTCAGCGAGGCGAGGCATCTGCCAGGTCCAAGCCCACTGCTGTGGTTCCGAGCCGAGTGTCGGCTTGGGGGTCTGCCCGGCCGCGCAGAGTCGCCCGAGCCTACCCACCCGCCTGTGTGTGTCCCACGGAGGAGGCCCATGCCGCTGGGACTCGCCTACCGCCCACTGTCAGCGCCAGGGTGGGGCCCAGCGCACTGGCCTGTAGCGGTCGGGGCTGAAGATGCGGGTACGCGCTGGCTGGGGAGCTGGCCCAGGGGGAGCATCCAGGACGGTACCAGCCCCACCCCGGGTGTGCTGGCCTCTCCCGAAGGACAGGCTGGGTTCTCAGCGCCTGAGGCCCTGCCCACCGGGCCTGCTGCCGTCTCCCCATGGGCTCCCAGCGCCTCCTGCCGCTGTGCGTCCCTCCATCGCCGCAGTGGCTCACCCTCCGGCCCTCTGTCTTCTCTGCTTCCTCCCGTCACCCTCCACACCAGTCACCTCACAAGCCCGCTGCCGTGCACACCGTGACAACACCGTCCCTCCAGCTGCGCGGGCCAGGCTGTGAGCGCCTTGTTCTCAGGTCCCACCCCTCCCATCCACCGATCCTCAGCTCTTCCGTGACCCCCTTCAGAGCTGCATCCTAAGCCCCTGATCCTGGATGGAGCAGGGAATGAGGAGAAGGAGGCAGCGGAGGGAAAGGAGACATCACTCGTCTCACTGAGGCCTGAGCAGCTCAGCGTTCCGCCCGCCCGGGTGAGCGGATCCAGGGCCATGTCCCGGAGCGCCACGCCACCGGCACTGCGGCTTCCCATTGTGCGGCCTGCCTTAGCCGGCTTCCTGTTCAGGCCTGCTCTGGGCACACCACTAGCTGCCAGCTCACCGTGTTCAGTTTCCTCCCAGGACCCCTGACATCAGCCCTCCTCCCTCGACGTGTCCTCCCTCCCAGGGTATCAGTGCTTCAGTGCTGCCCACAGGGTCCCTCTGGGGACCCAGCAAGCCCTCCCCTGGTAGGCACACAGGAGACGTCGGGCCCTTCGCACGGCTCTTGCTCCACGCTGACCACAATCCCGGGAGGTGGTGGTACCCTCCCGGCACCCCTAAGTGAAGTAAGTCTCGGGTTCCTGAATGTGCCCCCTGGGGTGACAACCAGGAGGGCAGGACAGGGCACCGATGCCCGGTACACCTGCTGGTTCTGAAGCCACCAGGCTGTCCACACGTCAGGGTCACGTCCACTGCAGCGTGCTCTTGGCTGCAGGAGGGTCCTCATAGGTGACCTCTGGGGACCGAGCAGATGTGAGGCGCATGTGCCCAGCTGTGGCTGTTATGCCCACCCTTGTCTTTCTGGTTCGCCAGCCAGAGCTGATCTCCTGCCCTAGTGGCAGGCTCCTGGCAGGGTAAACCGGCTGCCAGGCTGGCCCTGTATGGGGCAAGGCCCAGGGCCTCAAGGGCCACAGAATGACAGTCTGACCTCGCACCCACAGGAACCTGAGAGGGGCTTTTTCCCCAGCCATCCTCTGCTATCAGAAGCCAGGCTCAGAGCCAGTGGCCTCTGTGTCCCTCCTGCCATGGCTGTGGTGTGCAAGGCGGGAGACGGGCGGCAGGAGGAGAAGGTGCGGGGTCCCACCTCATCACAGGGGGTGATGCGGCTAGCCACGTCCTCCAGGTGCCTGATGGCCGACTCCTCCTGGAAGTCCCGTGGGAAGGTCTCGGTCCACTCGGCCAACAACTGGAGCAGTTTGGGGCCAAACTTCCGGACTCGAGCCTGCAAGGCAAGCAGAGGGCTGGGGCCGCCAGGGCAAGATTCACCATGTGCACTGCCCAGGCGCGTGGCCCATGGAGGCTGCAGCCTCTCTGCCCCACTGGAGAGGACACATGGCAGGGGCAGAGGGGCATGATACACGCTTGGAGGCTGTGCCCGCACCCCTTCTCCCTCTCTGCGATGACCCCATTTGGTGTCCCCCGGAGACTTCTCTTTCTAGCACACGGTCTCCAGCACACCTCTTCTCAGTCTGCCCCTGGCCTGGTCCCCCCACCCCCATACCACTGGCTCAGGTGGGCATTCGACCTAGGCCAAGCCCATGAGACTGGGCTGGTGTAAAGCCTGGAGAAGAGGCTTCCGCCATGGATGGTGACCGACTGAGGCCACTCGCCACTACTCAGGTGAACGGGACAGCCAGACTGGGGTCTCCAACCTGGAGGAGAGCAATCACTTGGGCCCTGGAGCCAGCAGTACCGAGACCTGGTGGTTACACAGCACAGTCACGCCCCTCTGCCCTGAGTTGGGTTTCTGACCTGGAAACCATGGAGGCAGAGCGACACACATACACATCATCACAGCCAGTTCCGGGGCAGGCCGGAACAGAGCACAGGACGCAGGAACCTGGAAGACCAGGCCACCAACCGAGTCTCGAGAAGGGGTGTGTGGGAAAGCAAGCCCGCCAGAGGCTGCAGGGCCACCCCAGGACACAGAAAGCAGGGATGCAGCCAACTGGCCTTCAGGGACACCGGTCAGGGCTTGACACTGGGAAGCGGCACCGGGACAGGGTCAACTCCATCCTTCCAGGCCCCGGACCTCAGACAAATGAGAGCCCTGCGCTCCTTGGCACTGCACAGTGCTGCGCCACCAGAAGCCCGGCCCTCACCTTGTCCAGCACTGGCTTGTCCAGCTGCTGCTGCTCGATGCACAGGTGGCAGACCCGGGCTAGGAGCTCCCGGGGCTCAATGAAGAGGCGAGAGCTCAGCAGGAAGGTGAAGATGTAGGCTTTCTGGGGGTACACACAAGAAAGGTGGTGAGCTCCCAAGGGCCCGGGTTAGGGCATGCCCTCCGCCCGCCCCACCTCCCAGGCCAGGGCTGCCCCAGCTCTGTTGCCCGCTCCATGCTCCGGGGAGAGAGCCCTCTGCTGCCCTCACCCACTGGGCGGTGCACCCACCTCAGGGTAGTAATCGGCGGTGGGCACCAGCTGCTGAATGAGGGTGTCCAGAGGAGCGGAGGAGGGAGCTCCATCCAGGAGGGGCTGCCCAGCCTGCTTGTCGTCTGCGGGCTCTGAGGGCAGCGGGCTGAGGCTGCCCGGGGTGACCATGTCGGAGGTGCTCAGTGTCCGGGGCATGCCTGCACGCAACAGCAAGGGTGCAATGGAGCTGGGGCCTGTGGGCCCCCAGCTTCCCCTTAACCTCACTGTCCACTCAAGTCCAGTGATCACTTGCCATGAGAGCTGACCCCCCAGCACAGTGCCCCTTCTCCTTCCTCTTAAGCCCTAACCCTCTCCTCAGAATCCATCGCTTTTCTTCTGAGCTTCTCCACCCGGGGCAGACACCTTGGGGAGTCCCTCTGCCCATGAAGGTTGTTCTCAACAAGTTCTGGGTCATCAGCATATTCCTTCCCACCACTGGCCACACATACTGGTTCAGAGACTCGTTCAAACGGGGCAGGAGTGGAGCTTAGGCACAATCCCAGAGCTCCTTGGCACCTGGGGGCTCCGTGAGCTGATGTAGTGCAAGGCTGACGTCACCTGGGCCATCTCATCACTGTGAGGGGCAGAAAGCGGGTGCATCCCTAAGGACAGTGTGGACCCTGGTGCTACTGTGCCAGAAGCCACTCTGTACACTGCATTACACATGCCTGTTCGAGCTGGAGTTCTCCCAGGTGCGCTTGAAACCCCGGGCCTCTGCAGCCTGGCGTTCCGAGCTCTGCATTGGACCAGCTGACCTGCGGCCTCCTGCTCCTCCCTACACCCAGCACATACTCTTCTCCAAACATGGCTTTCCCACCAGCTTCAGCCTTAGCCTGCAAACCCGGGGAAATGCCTGCTCCCGGGGTCTCCTGCTCCTCCTTTGCATGTCACACTGGCATCTGCCCTGGCAAGGACCCCACAGCCAGGCCATGCGCAGAGCCGTGCCCTCGGCGCGCCAGACCTCCGGCCCAGGCTGCCAGCTCCCTGCTGCCCTCCTCTAGGGCCTGGCCCTGCCCTGGCTCCGAGCGGGCACTCAGTGGAGATGGTCATACGGGTGTCAGGCAAGGGTGTGGACTCAGGTCAGACGCTGTGACAGCCTGTAGATGTGCCAGGCATCCTGCACACAGAGGAGTGGGCTGGGCCTTGGGGACCTGGCCCTTAGCTCTCCCATCTTACAGACGGAAAGGCTGAGAGCCAGAGGTGGTGCCCAGTGCATGTGCAGAGCCTGGCAGAGCGAATGGACACAGGTTCCAAGGCCACCTCCCCTTCCCGCACACCAGTTCACTGAGCACCAAGGCTGCTGTGCCCTGGCTCAGGGCACAGTCATGCTCCTGAGGTGGGACTCCACCTGCCTGGGCATGGAGAGCGCCGCATGCCTTGGCTTGCTGGCTCGGGGGCTGTCCAGTCCACTGTTGACACGTGTGGCACCCAAAGGGTCCATGGCTCCTTTCCAGCCCAGACCCCAGTTCAGACCCATGCTCGCCTGTCCTGGGGCTTCCGCGTGTGTTAGATCAGCCTTCTGGCCGACCAGGCCTTCCCTTGAACTGTGGTCTTGCAAGGCGGTCAGTGGGTAGGTACTCTGCCTCCCTGGGCCCAGGGTACCAACTAGGCTGCACCTCCCTGGACTTGGACTAGCCAAGTCCCCAGACCTGGTAGACCCGCAATGAATCATGTAAGTGAGGGACTGGAACCACACTGGCTCCTCCTGTCTGCCCTTGGCCTAGGCCTGCGCTCCTGCCTCTGTCTCTCTGGTCACCACCCAGGCCACTCTGTTCCCGGGCTGTGGCACGGCACTCACTGCAGAGAGGCAGCGACTGCAGGGCGGGTGGCGGCAGGACAGCCCCAGGGCACACGGACTTGCCATCCCCTACTTCCGGGAGAGATGTGGCTCCCGGCCGTGTGACTTTCGCCTTCATCTGACCCTGCAGTAGCTATGGGGCAAAGGGCTGTGGTGGCTCCTCCTGGGCTGATGGTGTCCACACCGCCCAGGTCCAAGGGACACAGGCTCCTGACCACTTTCACAGCTGGCTTCATAGGTGGCGATTTCTGTGGGGACCCTCGTGGACTCTAAAATCCCGCTGTCCATAAGATGTACATTTACGTGTAGCCAGAGAGCCTCCTGTATACTTTAAGTCATCTCTAGATCACTTATGCTAGGTAAGGTTTTATTGTTTGTTTATTTATTATTTATTTTGGTACCAGGGATTGAACTTGGGTCCTTGCGCTTGTGAGGCAGGCCACCAAACCGCTGAGCTAAATCCCCGGCCCTGTTGTTTAAATAATAAAATTTTGTGTATGTTCAGGACAGACATAATTTCCTCCCAAAGTATTTCCTGTCTGCAACTGGTTGACTTCAGGGATGCAGAAACTGTGGATACAGAAGGCCGATTGTAATTTTGCTTTATTAAACAAAAAGCCATTTTGAACACTTCAGCAGTGCATGCCTATAATCCCAGCTATTCAGGAGGCTGAGGCAGGAGGATCACAAGTTCAAGGCCAGCCTGGGCACACTGTGGGCCAAAAGAACCTGTATAAATGAGACCTCTGGATTCCACATGCCCAGTTTACACAGAACCCTACCCTGCTGTCCCAGCCCCACAAGCTGGCAGTTACCGGAAGTCTGCAAAAGGGAAACACTGAGTGCAGAGCAGAGCGGGCGGCTGCCTGTGCCAGTGTGGTCCTCACGCCGTCTCGGTGAGTGGGGAGGGCAGGCGCTAGGCTGTTAATGAGGGACAGGTGCAAAGATGCGCTGGCAGAGGAAGGGGAGTATGCAGCTGTGCCCATGAGGACACCATTCAGAGCAGAAAGGAGGACACCTCCACTCCCCATACACACAATGACCTAGCACCCGACCAACTGCTCATGGAGATGGCCCACAGCCCCCGTGTCCTTGGGCGCCCTCTGCTGGCCAGGCCTGGAGCTGCAACTCCACACAGCAGGGCCCAGGGCTGAGCTCTGTGCCAGGGCAGGCACCTGGATGCCTGTGACCACTGGGGCTTCCATGCTGGCTGCGGCCGGGCACCTCCACCTTCTGATCCAGAGCCACAGCTTGGAATCGGGTATGAGGGGCTGCCGGGAATCTCCCCTGCCATCTGGCCTTGAAGGTAGCAGAGGCTGAGGCAGAAGTTTGACACTGTCACAGGGCAGCGGATGTGACTGGAAATACTGGGAAGAGGCGCCTTTCAGAGACGATCTGATTGTGAAGGGAGATCAGTGCCTTTCTTGTGGGGCCGGAGTAGTCACCATGAGCTGTTACAAAGCAAGCTGGGCCCCACTGCCCTTGTGTCTCTGTCCCTCACATGTTGCTTGGGCATCTCCCACGAGCCGAGCAGACAAGGCCCTTCTGGTACTGTGCTTTCGGGTGTCCCAGCCTCCAGAAGTGTAAGCCCAAATCAACTCTAGTGTTTATAAATTTCCCAGTCTCAGATACTCCGTTACAGCAACAGAAAAGGGACTGGCAACTCTGTATCAGAGCCATTCTGCTCCTGCCTTAGCAGAATTTTACACACTCATCATTTGCTTTCATTTCCCCCATTATGTCTTAAATTTTTTATGGTTAGAATGTATTCAACATAAAGTGCACCCTTTCAACAGGTCGGTGGCATCAGGCACTGTCACAGTGTTACACGGCCGTCACCACCGTCACCCACGGAAGCCTTCATAGCCCCAACTCAGAGCGCGGCACTCCACACTAATTTGTCTCCCAAACCAAACCAAACCAAAGAGTAACTAGCCAGGCATGGTGGCGCACGCCTATAATCTCAGCACTCGGGAGGCTGAGGCAGGAGGATTGCTGTGAATTCCAGACCAGCCTGGGCTACACAGTGAGTTCCAGTTCAGTCTCAGCTCCATAGTGAGACCCTGTCTCAAAAAACCAAAAAGCCAAACCAAACTAAACTAATTCGTCTCCCTTCCTGCAGCCTGTGGGCACCACCGTTACACTTTCTGTTTCTGTACTTGATTATTCCAGGTACCTCAAGCAGGAGAGGTGACTGTGTGTGTGTGTGTATGTGTGTGTGTGTGTGTGTGTGTGTGCATGCGTGCATGCACGCGTGAGTCTTGCTTATTTCACTTAGCAGAAACCCCTGAGATTCCATCCACTTCCTAACATGTATCAGAACCTTCTTCCCTTTCAGGGCTCAGAGTATCTTATTTTACGCATGCACCCTGCTCTCTTCATGTGCTCATCTGCTGGGGTCATGGGGTGGTTTCAGCCTCAGCCACATCATTGTGCACAGAACCTGAACCGTTTTACGTTACCACTTAGCAGTAAGAAGGTGTTCAGCTTCTCCACACCCTCACCAACACTTGGTTTCTACTATTTGAAAAAACAACCATCCTGATGAGCATTAAGTGACATCTTATTGTGGTTTTGATTTGCATTTGCTTCATGATTAGAGTTCCTGAGCAGCTTTTCTCGAAATGCCTGTGCAAGTCTTGTGCTCATTTTTGAAGTAAGTTGTTTGGGTTTCTTTTTAGCATTGTTTTTGTTGAGTTTTAGGAATTCTTTACACATTCTGTGTGCTAATAATCCTTTATTAGGTAGATGATTTGCAAGTGTTTTCTCCCATTCGGTGGGTTATAATTCTGCTCTGTTGTTACATCCTTTGATGCGTGAAGGTTTTCATTTTGATGAAATCAAAATAGAGTTTGCTTGGGCAGGGGAGATAGTGGCACTGTGCCTGCCTGGCAGGTACACAGTCCTAAGTTCGATCCCCGGTACTCCCTTTGTTGCTCTGGGGAGTGGCTCTGGCTCTCTGTGTCCCGGAAGCACGAGGACAGTGGGCTCTTCCTTTCCCCACCACGAGTGAGAGGCAGGCCTGGCGCCCTTGGAGTCCTCACTTTCTGCAGCTCTGAGAAGAGCTGAATCCTAGCTTCTTCACATCAGCCTCAGCCAGCTTGGGCCACCAAACAGCCACAATGGAATCTCTGCTTGGGGTGGCTTCTGCGGCTTCTCTAGGAACAAAGGCCATCCTGGGCCCTGAGGGGACAGGGAGCTGAACTCTGGTGTTTCCAAGGTCCCTGGTGAAGGGCCTGCTGCCCTGCCCAGGCAGGTTCTGGTCTGACCTCAGTGGTTTCACAGAAGAAAGAGACTCAGTCCCATGCTTCCTGTGTCCTCTGTCCCGGTCACTTAGTTCTGAAAACGATCCCGTGGGGT